CGGCAAGACTGTCTTCCACAGTTTGGGTGTCTTGTCAGGAGAGACAATCCCTGGAGAAGGACATCATGCTTGGGAAAATGGGTGGGGTGGGGTAGTGGCAAAAAAGAGGACGTCCCTCGGTGAGAAGGGCTGAAACTGTGGCTGAACCAACGGGCTCGGGCATGGGAGTCATTGTGAGGAGGGGGCAGGACCACGCAGTGTTGTTTTGTTGTGCATAAGGCCACCGTGGGTTGGAGCTGAGTGGATGGCACCTAATAACAACATGAGGCGGAGCATAATGATAAAATCAGGGCCTGTACAAAGCCCACGATCATGTCAGGAATAAGTGGCAGATCCAGGATTTAAATGCATTCCATTTTCACATCATATATATATATATACATTACTATTCTTACCGTATTCAGAAGGATCTGATTCTTTCCCAAAACCTCACTCTGCATTCAATGAATCTCATATCTGTGTCTCCCATCCCTCATCTCTCTTAAATGACAGACACATATATCTACCTACCTCTAGACATGAGTTGAGAGGACTAAAGGATGGAGAGTAATGGGTTGTATTTTGTCCTCCAAAATATGTGCTCAATTAGCTGGGTCATGATTCTTAGAGGTTTGGCAGCTGTGTAATGATGTCCTCATCCCCCATGATGGGGAATGATCAGCCCTGATATGATGGAAGTGGATTAGGATGGGCTGAAACACCCTTAATAAGGTCACAACCCAGATCTGATGCTACGCTCACAACTTTTCTTTCATTGAAGCCAGGATCACTTTTTATCTTACAAGAGATAAATGAGCAAAGAGAGAGGAGACTCTATTACCACCAAGAAAGAAGAGCTTAGAATGAAGTACATCATTTGGACCTAGGGTTCCAGTGCTAGCAACCTCCTAGACCCAGGGAAAAACTGATGGAAAGACTCATGGAAATCCCCAAAGGATGCCAAGCCATCAGATGATGAGTGGAAACAAGGACCTTCCCCCTCAGAGCCAGCAGAGAGAGAAAGAGAAAGCCAATGTCTTGAATTTGAACCTCTAACTTCTTAAACTATGAGAGAATAACTTTCTGTTCATTAGAGTATTTTTACTTTTGGTATTTTTATAGCAGCCCCAGATAAGTAAGAAAGGAGCCCTTGTTGTTATGTGTTGGGCGAGGTTAGTAGTTTGAAATCATCAGCCGAAGATGAGGGTTTCGACTCCTGTAAAGAGTTACAGGCTCGGAAACCCAAAGGGGCAGTTGTACCCTATCATATAGGGGGACGATGAGGCAGAATAGACTTGATGTCAATGAGTTTTGTTTTTTGTTTTAGATAACTAAGAATTCCTAGGAAATTAAGACAAGTATATACACCAAATAATTGGGGGTGGGGGGTGGGGAAGCCCAATGTATTCAAATAAAGACTTGTATATGGTTGTTCATAGGACCACTCTTCACAATCGCCAAAAGGTAGAAACAACCCAAACGTCCTTCAGTGGATGAACGGATAGACAAACTATGGTATACTCGCTCAATATTGCTTGCTGTCCATGGAGATAAATGAAGTTCTGATATATGTCTCAAAAACACTGCGCTACGTGAAGGAAGCCAGATGCAAAAGGCCACATAGGATATGGTTTTATGTACAGCCGGAATGCTCCTTGGAGGTGCGGATACCCAGACTTCTCACGCCCTTTGGATATGCTACCAGGAGAAAGCAGTCTCTGGAGAAAGATGTCATGTTTGGTACAGGGGATGGAGCAGCAGAGAAGAGGAAGACCCTTGAGGCGATGGACTGAGACAGTTGCTGCACCAGCAGGCTCAGATAACACTAATTGTGAGGATGGCACAGGATCTGGCAATGGTTTGTTCTGTTGCACATCGGGCTGCTATGAGGTGGAACCGACTAGGCCAGTGGTTCTCAACAGGTGGGTCGTGACCCCCTTGGGTGTCGAACGACCCTTTCACAGGGGTTCCCTAAGACCATTGGAAAACACGTATTTCCAATGGTCTTAGGAACCGAGACAACGCTACTCTATGCATCTCCAGGCGGGTCTGCCCACATGCAGATATGCCCACATATGAGTACCAGCATGAATACTCTCATCCATGCTACACCATGCTTCAAGACAAAGTTTTATTGATTTGTCATTAGATAGAAATATTTAACAATATAGAATTACATATTGTTTTGTGATAAATCACCATGCTTTAATTATGTTCAATTTGTAACAATGAAAATACATCCTGCATATCAGAAAGTTACAAGACGATTCATAACAGTAGCAAAATTACAGTTATGACATAGCAACGAAAATAAATTTATGGTTTGGGGGTCACCACCACATGAGGAACTGTATTATAGGGTCAGGGCATTAGGAAGGTTGAGAACCACTGAACTAGGCACTTAACAACATTTACATAAAATGTCAAGAACAGACAACTCCATAGGTACGGAAAGCAGATTTGTGGTTGCCAGGGACTGGGGGAAGCGAGTGCCGGCGATGCAGGAGTTCTGTAACTAGATAGTAGTGATGGTTACACATCGCTGTGAATGCATTTCAGGGCACAGAATTATATAGTTCAACATGGTAATATTTTGTTATGTTTTTTGCTGCACACACAAAAATCAATTTAGAGAATAGATGGAAAATGTCTGACACATAGGTGGCCGTATTTTCAGGAAAGGGGGCTTGCAGTCAGTTCTGTCCAATGCAGTTAGCGTATATGCAAATCTCTCATCATTTTCATATTTGTGGAAAGTGCTGTTTAAAAAATATGTAATAGAAGCCAACAAAGTGCTTTCAGAGCCATTAAATAATTACGTAAGCATCTCAATTATTGTTCTCTTCAGCAAATACATAGGATTGACACCTATGACAGTGTATTGCTATCCTTTGAGCATAGCAAAGACTCAGATCAGAATTCTCCTTTATTATCTATTTGATTATCACCGGTCAGGCATTCTAGAATGTAATACATGGGATAACTCCTTCCTTGTATGGGCATTTATGTTTCATGAGTCATTTGCTGTAAATCTAAAGTACCAGCAATAATTCTACTATTAAAATATTGAGATTTTCCAAGGAGATGTTGTTCAGCTTCAAACACTGCTAGAAACTTCTTTATGAAGGTAAAATGATAACGATCCAAGGTTAGGAGGCTTTGGTGAGGAACTTCCTCTCTCACTGGTCAGGTAGCTAGTGTTTTGTTTTTCTTTCTCTCTTCCTAGAGGCCCGAGACTTCTGTCTCGCAGGACATCTGCCCACTGCTGGAGTCACCCTTCCTAGGCTAGAGTTGGGTTTGGAGACTGCCCTTTGGCCAGGTCCACACTTGTGTCTTCTCAGGATGTGAGAACTGCAACCATCAGTCGGACAACGAACAGTTCTCAGCTCTGCCAACAGCTTTACATCGAGACTCACTCTGTTCCAGGAATTGTTATGACCATTCTTTGGCAATGATCCAAAGACGGGAAGAGAGAGCCCACACCATGTAAAGAACACTCAATAGAAGCAGTGACCTTCTCCCAGAGCTGACAGATAAAGAAAGCCTTCCCCTAGTAAACCCACTGGCAGCGAGTTGATTCAGACTCGTGACAACGCTATATAGGATACGCAGGCTGTAAATATGTACAAGAGCTATCTTTCTGCCTGTTGGTAGATTTAAATTGCCAACCTTGAGATTAACGACCCAACATGATAGCACCACCAGGGCTGTTGTAACACCAACTCACTGCCATTGAGTTGATTCCAAATCTTAGTGACGCTAGGAGACATAGAACTGCTCCTTGTGGGTTTCCGAGGCTGCACAACTTTATGGGAGTCGAAAGCCTCATCTTTCTCCCACGGAGCGGCTAATGGTTTCCAACGGCTGGCCGTTCAGTCAGAAGCCCAACGGGTAGCCGGCCCACTTCGTCACCAGGGCTCCTTTGTTGTTAAAACTCCAAACTCAGTGCCATTAAGTTGATTCCAACTTATAGCTTGTTGTTACTCCAACTCATAGTTTTCGGATTCATGGTTGTTACATGCTGCCAAGTTGGTTCTGCTAATGACTCTACATACAACAGAAGGAAACACTGATCCTGCGCCATCCTTCCGACTGGTGTGGAGTGTTTGAGTCCATTGTTTCAGCCACTGCGTGCCCCTTAGCCCCCTAAAACTGTGGGAACATAACATTTTAATTTGTGGTATTTGTTACCGCAGCACTAGATTGCTAGTACAAAGGGGCTCTTGTGTTTCAGAGAGGTGAATGCTCAAGACTAGAAAGCTCTTTGTAAATGTTCAAGGTAAAACTTATCTAGGCCGGTGTCACTCCAAAGCACAGGCTGTGGACGTGTGTCCGGTGGGTTCCGGGGGTTGTAAATCTTTACCGGAGTAGAAAGCGTTGTCTTTCTCCCCTGGAGCGGCCGGTGGTTTGGGGTCGCTGTCCAAGAGATTAGCAGTCCAATGAGCAAATATTTATGGGTGCAGACAGCCTCCTAGCTCTCCCTTGGAGCGGTTAGAAAGTTTGCACTGCGGACTTTGCCGTCAACAGCAGCCCAATGCTACCAGCGCTGAAGTCACGTCAAAACCGATCCTTTGCAAACGTGGGGGGTGGGTAAAAAAAAGCCTCCAGTTTGTGAGATCTGGATCCTTGCGTTCCCGGTCGTGGGGATCAGGGCGGTGTCACTGCTCGCGTAGTCGCCACAGTTCATTTAAAAGCTGTAGAGAATCGAGCGCTCTCCTCCGGAAACAGCCCTCAGCGGCCCCGCGGCCCGCCACTCCCGCTGGCCACCCGCTGTTCCGGCGGAGGCGCCGCGCAGCAGGGCGCTCAGCAACGTCCTTTGCCGTAGCGCTTCTGGGAGTTGTAGTTTACGTGAGTCCGGCGGCGCTGCGTCAGAGGGAGGAAGACCAGGAGAGAACTACAATTCCCAGCAGCCCTCGGTTCTGGGGCGGGGTCGTCCGGGAGTGGGGCGGCAGGAGGCGGGGCTCCGGCCGGGGAGAGGCAGTGGCGGCTGTTTTGTAAATGCGGCGGGAGTCGGGAGCATCGCGGCGTCTGTGGCGGTAGAGGAGACGGTGAGAGGGCGCGAAGCGGTGGTCCGGAGGACCGGAGAGAGGGCCCACATGGGGGGTTGGGCCCACACGGCAGAGGGCACCGCAGAGGGACGGGGTGGTCGGCGGACCGCGGGGAAGGGGAACCCCATTTTCCTACCGAGTGCAGGTTAGCACTATTGTTTCTCTCAAGCGTCTTGGCAAGCTGCCTTTCCGTCGAGTCTTCCTTCGCGTGGCCTGTTGTCTACAACGCGCAGAAGGGGCTTCTGCCATCCCGGGAGGGCCCTTCGCGTTCATCCCTGCGGAGTGCTTCTGGTTGATAAAGTTTCACTTTTAGGTTCGTGGCATTTGACCCATAAGGCTCTCAATGAAGTGTCTGATTTTGGCGGACTGATGAATCACTTCCTAAGTAAAGCAGTTCCTTTTCAGGGTCTTTTTCTTCTTAGGATGCAGAGAATTTAATCTCTGGACTGATTAGGAGTTGAGTAATTTAGAAACTGGATATCTAAACTGGGAGACGATAAAGGCAGGGAGACATTTACCATTCCAAGAGGTAAGCATATGATCAAGAACCAATGATACTGAAAGAGGAAGTCCAAACTGTACTGACAATATTAGCGAAAAATAAGACTCCAGGAATGGACAAGGATACCAATTGAAGTATTCCAAAAAGCTAATGAAGCACAGGAAGCACCCATTTGCCTATGCCAAGAAATGTGGCCAACTGACTGGAAGAGACCCATATTTGTAACCATTCTAAAGAACCCAACAGAATTCAGAAAATCACACAACATCATTAATATTACATGGAAGTAGAATTTTGCTGAAGATCATTCAAAATCATTGGCAGCAGTACATTGACAGGGGGCTGCTAGAAAATCAAGCCAGATTCAGAAGATGTCATGTCACAAGGGAGATTGCTGACATCAGATGGATTTGGCTACAACCAGAGAATACTAGAAAGATGTTTGCTTGTGTTTTATTGGCTGCACAAAGGCATTCAGTTGTGTGAAGTATAGCAAACTATGGACAACATTGCAAAGAATGGGAATTCCAGAACACATAGTCCTGCACACATGGATCCTGTACATGGACCAAGAGGCAGTTGATCAGACAGCAAGGGGATACTGCATGGTTTAAAGTTAGGACAGGTGTCCCTCAGGGTTCTGTCCTCTCACTACACTTACTCAGTTTACATGCTCAGAAAATAATCTGATAAACTGGACTCTGAAGAAGAACATATCAGGATTGGAGGGAGGCTTATTAACAACCTTTGCTACACAGATGACACAACTTTGCTTGCTGGAAATGAGGAGGACTTGAAGCACTTGCTGTTGAAGGTCAAGGGCTGTACCCTTCAGTATGGATTACAATTAAATGTAAAGCAAGCTAAAATCCTAACAACTGGATCAATAGATGGAGAAAAGATTGACATCAAGGATTTCACTTTGCTTGGATCCACAATCAATGGTCATGGAAGCAGCTGCCAAGAAATCAAGTGATGCATTCCATTGGGCAAATCGGTGGCACAAACCTTTAAAAGCGTTGAAAATCTTTAAAGTGTTGAAAAGCAAGGATGTCACTTTGACAACTCGGTGCACCTGACCCAAGCGTCAGTCCCCTAGGAGAAGACTTGATGCATTTGCATTATGGTGCTGATGAAGACTATTGAAAGTACCAGAGACTTCCAGAGGAATAAACAAGTTTATCGTGGAAGAAGTACAGGCAGAATTCTTCTTGGAAAAGAGTCATACCAAACAACATGTAATCTACAGTAATAAAAAATATATCTCATTTGGACGCAAAGCATTAATCCAGTTACTGAAAAGAGAATACAAGTGGAACAAACAACAGATGAAGATCTTGAGACAGACTCATTGGACTGAATTTCCCCCTCCCCCTTGATGGAAGAATGTTCCAGACTGTACATTAAGGACCTCATTATTAATGACATTATTACTGTGTTATGATTATTTTAAAAATTACTGTAAGGTGCACACTACATACGAAGGTCAGCCATCATTCCTGTTACAGTTATTAGCAAGCTTAAAAATGAAGCTTTGTGTATTTTGACTTATAACCAGCTCAGCTGAAGGTGGTGGTTGTGCATATCATTTTATTTATAAAATATAAACCTACATTTTGTCTTGAAGCTAAGTGTTAAACTTGGAATAGCTATATACCCCTGAGAAATGGGCACTGTGCCCTCACCCTGACCTTCCTTTGTTAATTCTTTAAAATCTTGTTTTTTTAAAATCCTGAGAGATTAAATAGTAGACTTGTTAAACAAAAAAATGAAACTGTAACCAGAATTTTAAAATAAGGTTGTTTTTTTTTACAAAAAGAAAAGAGTCATATACTTTGGACATGTTATCAGAGGATACCTGGTAAAGGCCACCATACTTGGAAAAGTACCAGAGGTTGAGAAAACGAGGAAGACTATCAAGGATGACCCAGTGGCTGCACCTAACAATACTGAGGATGGTGCAGGACCAGGGAGTGTTCTGTTCTGTTGTACGTAGGACTGCTATGACTTGGAATCTACGTGACTGCACCTAAAACAACATTAACATTATCCTCACTGCCTTCCGAGGTTCCCATCGCATCCTTTGAGTTCTTAAAACTTTGATCCTATACCAAAAGCCAAACCAAATGAACTGCTATTAAGTCTGCTCCCTATGGTTTCTAGGGATATAAATCTTTCCTGGAGCAGAAAACCTCATCTTTCTCCACAGACTGGTGGGTGAGTTTGAACTGTGGAATTTACAGTTAGCAACCCAGATGGTAACTCACTGCACCACCCAGGCTCCTGATCCCTTTCAGATAGCTCTGGAGAGAGAGCACAATGTGCAAGGCAACTTTTTCCATAGTTAAGATAAACTATTGTTTGGTGGATTTAGGTTTGAGCTACTCTTTGCATATTTAAGACTTAAAGATATCTATATATAGTTAAATGCTCATTTGCTTTATTTGCATCTTTTGTATATTAAGTATTTACTATATTTCATTCAGGGTTGAGGTTTGGGTAGGCTTTGGGTAGAATAAGTCAGTTTGAACTAATATTTTTTCTTGCCTGTGTTCTGTTTACAGGTGTTGGAAATCAATAGTGCTTCACATTTTTGCATCCCTTTAACTGTGTCTTTGGATTAAAATGTTCCTGATGGCCACCTCTTCGGAAGTAAACAACGGGCAGAACTTTTTAACCCAGTGGATGACCAATCCTTCCCGGGCTGGGGTAATTTTAAATCGTGGATTTCCGATTTTGGAAGCCGAAGGAGATAATCAAGCAGCTGTCAACTTCTCTAGCAGTTTTCCTATTAAAGCCACACAGTTTTCAAATAGCTTCAGCTTTATAAGTGAAGAAGATTCACTTCATGAGGAACTGAACTTGGAGCCTATCAGCTCTCACAAGCTACCGAAAGACAAACCCCAAACGCACGAAGTCTCTCCTGTAACTAAGAGGGAACCCCAGATCGTAGCACATCAGAATGTTTCCGGACACTGGGAAAATAACAAAAGTGACCTCCTCCCAGATTTTGCAAGTGATTTCAAAGACGCGTCCCACAAGGACCCACTTTTTAAAAAACTTGAACAGGTAGAGCAGGACCATCTGATACTGTGTTTGTGTTACTGCGGGTTTCAGTTCGCATCCAGTCATCTCCTCCAGATGCTCTTCCTTCTTCTCCCTCACTCGGGAATCTTCAAAAATAGCACATTTCCCTTTGACTAATCTGAAACATTAACATGCTTTTAATAGGATACACACTAACACTTCCTGTCTCTAAGTTGCTACCTCAATTGGTAAAAATGCAATGGTGGATCGCTTATTTGGGGGAAAAGAGATTATAGGCATACGATTGCTTACCCTACTCGAGTCCAAGGATTGATACTCGTATGGCCATTTTTTTTCTTGAGATAGTTATAATATGGTTTCCTTGATAAAATATGGGGTCTTAGATTTTTTTGAAGCAGGTTTAGTTACTTAGGAATCCCTCTCCAAAACTCTTTATTAGGGAAGATAAAAGGAGGGTGTGGGAGAGGGCTCAAGATGAATGTAAGGTGCAGAGTCTGAGGAAATGTAATGCTAATTTAACAAAGCTAATGTTATGTTTAAAAAGCTGAAACAAGTACAACAGAAGAAGCAGGAGGAACTGAAGAGGCAGCAGTCAGAACAACTACAAAGACTCATGGAAGAACGAGAGAAGCTGCTTACGATGGTGTCTGATCAGCATACATTTCCAGGTACTTTTGCTTTTTCATGGCCTTTCGTGCATACTCACCACTATCACACTAATTCTGATGTGTCCCAACCGCAGAGGACAGAGTGGAACTGCCCCTTTGGGGTTTCCAAGACTATAAATCCTTATGGAGCAGAAAGCCTCATCTTTCTCCCAAGGAGTGGACTGGTGGATTTGAACCACTGACCAATGGTTGTATCCTTCGAAAGTTGCTCCTGAACTTTTAAAGACTCCAGACACTACTTAGCAAAGTAGGTTGTAAAAACATTAATGCTTTATGTTATGCCAGTTCATCTAGATGTCTCCCAAGACCTTGATTTTTAGCCTTCAAGCCCAGTAGCTCTGTCCTACAAGGCATTTGGTTATGTCTCAGAAGTTTCTATAGATGTGCTTTCTGTGTTCTCCAATAAGTTTGAGAGAAGTTTTTGACCTTTTACTCTCATATCGATGATTTTTTTATGGGAGCTTATTACCCAGGGCTTATATTCTTTATTTTACACTCTAGGGATGATTTCGGGTCAAGATTTAAAGAGTATCTTGGGGCATAGTGTAAGGTGACCAGACATCCCGCTTTTGGTGGGACAGTCCCGATTTTTAACAATTTTTCCCATGTCCTGCGGCATTTTTAAAAAGTCCCGATTTTTGGAAAGAATGCACGACAAGCTAGGGTATACGGTTTTCGGCTGCCATGTGGCTATTTCTCCAGGATATGAGTTTTATCAATGGTGTCCTGCTTTACCAATGTTAAAATCTTAGCATCGTGCCTAGTTCACTAATCTCAGCTGGTCCAATAAATCTGGACTTCTAAAGAATTTGAGTTTTGTTCCACATTTTAATCCAGTCTATCAGGGTCTAGGTTCTAATGGTCATTGGAAACTATCTAGTTCTGGTCTCAGGGCAGATGAAGTCATGATTCGTGTAGATCAGTGATTCTCAGCCTTCCTAATGCCGAAACCCTTTCATATAGTTCCTCATGTGGTGGTGACCCCCAACCATAAAACTATTTTCATTGCTACTTCATAACTGTCATTTTGATAGTTATGAATTGGGTGACTCCAGTGAAAGGGTCCTTCGACCCCCCCAAAGGGATCTTGACCCACAGGTTGAGAACCGCTGGTGTAGATCATAGGTTACCAAACTTATCTGGCCTACTGCCTCATTTTCAGAAATAAAATTACTTAGTACTCCCCTGACAATGAAACACTTTTGTATTATAGCCCATAATCCAGGATAAAGGGTAGTTATTTTCCAAGGAGCTCTGGTGATGTGGTGGTTACGCATTAGGATGTTACTTGCAAAATTAGCAGTTTGAAATCACCAGCAGCCCCAAAGGGAACAGGATGAGGCTTTCTACTCTTGTAAAGAGACTCTAAGCAAATGTGGCGAAGAAAGCTGATAGTGCCCGGTATCAAAAGATATAGCGTCTGGGATCTTAAAGGCTTGAAGGTAA